CTTAGGTTGTAATTTATAACTAATACTAAACGTAAGTATTTTTAAGTTGGTCACAAGTTACTTACAAGTAAACATAAGTAGTATACAAGTAGAAATAAGTAGAAATAAGTAGAAAATAGTAGTTGAAACTTCTTGTTTTTGCAAAAAGTGAGAAGGAAATCCGAACTTAGGTTTGGAGAGGTTTAACTTTAGTTTTCGAAAGCTTTTTGGTATATTTTTGGTGAAACAGCATGGGCGCGCTGACTAAGCAGAAGAACTTGTTTTGGGGTTTGCCGCGCTCCACGCTCAATAAGGAAATGATTTTTTTTTATCGATGCTTTCGAGCGGTCACACCGCTCTTGGTTAGTAAAACTTAGAGACAGACATGGACAGATATAACATTATATAACTAGCTATGTTATATATATAATATATGTTATCTTGATAGCGGTCACGCCGCTTCCTATATATATCATTGAGCGGGCACACCGCTAATATTAATGCATTGTATTGAACAATGGTAAATATTGTTCTTTTATATGTTGAAACGCAAATGCATGAAATAGCAAAACCATTCCCGCGCATGGTTTCTTTTACAAAGGCCCACTGCATGTGTAATTACGACTAGGACAAGAGCGTGAGAAGATCCTCAGTCACCACGGACACCTGCCAAACGAGACTGGGGTGCATGTCCTTCAGGTAGGGCAGCATCTTCTGCAACATGGTCAGGTCGTCACGCATTGCTTTGCGCTGGTAGATGTTCAGGGTGGTGACATGGTTGAGGTCCAGAAACTTGTCCATGGGAACCCCGATGCTGCTGATGGTAATGTCGTCCCCAGTAAATCCGTTCATCTTCACTTGAGCTTTTGTGATTCCAATCCACAAGTCAGCTACGGATTGGGTCTCCATCGTGATGCCTAGGCAAAGACACGTGTTTCTGCACGCTTCCCGAGAAGCTTCGAGCTTCTCTGCACGCTTTTCAGGCCAAAGATGTGCACGATCCATTTATAACATGTTATAACTGTTAGTTGGGCCATAACTGTGGTGAAAAAAACCACCAAGCCCCCGCACGTACCACCACGCAGTCGCTCTCATAGCTCAACTGCAGCTCTCCCGGCGCCATGGCCTGCGAAGCTTGCGCTTGCGAAGCTGCCTGGCGCAATGGGTTGAAGGGTGTAGAAACCATGGATTCACCAGTAACAATGTGAAACCATAGGAAACCGTAGGAAAACCATAGGAAAACCATAGGAAAATGGCCATTAACAGTTATACATATTTATACATTATTTGTTTAACTCCTATAAGTAGGGTTATATCATTATAAACCCATGATTTTCGTGAATGGATGTTGAACAATAATATAACGAGTGGATACTAATATTAATGCAATGGAGACTAATGGATACTTACAATGTGGGGCCTCCTAGTTGTAAGTTGGTTTGTAAACCCCATTAGCTCAAGATCTAGCTATATCATATCTACTATCTATATCTCATTGTGACATTGGAGTTTTTTGCACCAACTTAGCTATCGTTTGGGGGCCCCACAGTGTAGGCAACAAAGATGGTGATTGAACCATCCAAAATGGGTATTGCAAGGTTCAACCGTCACAACCTGTTGGCCCACCTGACAATGTCATTTAATCATCGAAGCAAGAGCAATGTAGGTCTACAAAAAGGAATTAAGCAAAGTAACATAATTTTGCATGTTTAGAATGGATGTGATGATATGAAGTATCTTGGATTATTTTGGCCGATAGATTTCAGTAGTCGTTGGTGACATCTCAAACGCTCCAGGGTCGACCGCAAACATTCATACAGATTCACGCCAACACTGGTTTACTGGGGCTTGTAATTCATACCGTTGATCACTGATATACTCACTATCTATCGAAATTTATGATTGAAACTCCCTCTGGCAGGATACAAGTCGGTTTATGGTTTGAACTTCAATTGATATGTGGATTCATAATCAGTGTGTAATTTCACCCAGAACATCATTGAAAAAAATCTGACGGTCCTCAGCCTCTATGCTCGGCTCCAACCTATCACCAAGGTGAATCCTTGAAACAAAAAAACATGCAGAGCCTTACTAAACCTTGTTTTTCCGAGAAATTTCAAAAAACCTTGGTGTATAGACGGCTATCCCTGCGAAATGGGAAACCCCATTTTATGTTTGTTGGTTTACAATCTCGAACAAAAATACGATTAAATCATCTAATATCTACCATAACCTCAACATTAGACTTATAAAAACCAACTTCGCCCATATAAGTCCAGCATAAATCCTCATGGTTACAAGGCTGCCAGCCTGACCTAAAACAGGCAGATGGATCTTCATCGGTTTCTTGGTGAAATCCCACTAGACCCCCATTCAAACCCACTAACATCCCATTAAATCATTAAATCACCATTTTTGTTGGTGAAATCCCATGAAAATCCCATAACATCACCATTTTCCTTGGTAAAACCCACTGAAAAAACCATCCCGACACGACACCGAAACCTGTGGTTCGTGGACTTCAAGCGTGTCCAGCAAACCCACCGGCCGAGGCGCCGCCTTGGGATGGCTATAGCTGGTTTTTTTTTTAGCTGTGGAAAATGGATGATACAATATGACTATATCCCCAGCATATACATACCCATAGGATCCATGTATGGTATATATGCTAACATTGGGGGTATATTGATGGTAAATGTTACCATATATAGCTATGAGATGATATAAACTGGTTGGTGGTTGAGCCCTACCCCTCTGAAAAGTGATGGAGTGAAAGTCAGTTGGGATGATGATTCCAAATATGTGGAAAAATAAAAAATGTTCCAAACCACCAATATATATATGATATAAATATGCTGGGGAAATATTTATAGCTCATGGAATTGCTGGATGGATAGACCCTGGCAGATAGAGGTTGGAAGATTAGTTTGAAACTGTGCTATTTTCAGGGTCTATGTTAATTTACCAGAGGGTAATTGTGTTTAAATATATCCTTATATGGAAAATGGATGGATAATACGATGCGAATTGTTTTAGAACCCTAAATGTTACAACTAGAAACCTTAAAACAACTAAAACCTAGCTATATATATATATCAATCTAGTTGGATAGTGATAAGGATAATTACAACTAAATATATTTAAACCTACCCTCAGCTACGTATATTTAAATATATATATATGTATGATATATGCATATATAGCTATATATACATAATATGTTGTTTCAGTATTTTAGTGGTTGATGTCACCTGCGCAACCAACAAAAGGAGAGCAGGGACTCGCTGCCACACGATTTTTCGCCCTCGCGCGCTCTCCCGCGCAGTGCGACTGATGTCTTTTCGCGGCCTGGGGAAGTCTGGGTTTGTCCAAGAAAGGAGGAATACCCACGTAGTCAAAGTTGGATTATCCGCTTATCCGATATGATCCGGCATGGATAAAAAACCCTCTATGAAGGGTGGGATCAAATGGGGGAGATAGTGGGATATATGATAAAATGGAATATTGTGGAATATCGGTTGATACCCTTCAGTAATCAAACATGTTCAGCTGGGAAATACTCTATAACTGGGCATGTGAATAATGGTACTAAACGAATGGATCTGGAGGAATATATGGTTCATGGGCAAAGCCAAGTTGGGTACCCCTAAACCGGAGGGCTTTGCCCATGTTCCCAATTCACACAGGATCACGCAGGCAGGTGGTGCCCCAGTTTGTGAACGCTGTTTGTTGGTGGTTTAAATAACTCCAATTTCACGACTGGGTTTATGGTAGATATACCGAACTACTTAATGGGATTATAAACCAACTTATAACTAGGGGGGGTATTAGCTTGTATATCCTTGCAGAATCTTCTTAACGGTGACGGGGAATACCACTCACAAGTAAGTCTGCCTTTATTATACAAAGATTCATGTGTGACGTTGTGCACATATTGCACCTGAATTGCAAGTCGCCGTTCGCGAAGTTGCAACCAGCTGCCTTCCAACCTGCGGTCAAAATGAGCCATGTTGACATACCCTTTGATATCAGCAATACCCCAAGGATTACCCATTAATGTTCCTTGGGTTATCCACATCTAGTACAGCTGGAATTAACTGTAGGATTACACGTATAAGCTCTCAAGTAGTTTGGAAACTCTGCTTGTAGTTGCTTCGCTTCCCATGAGAAAAGAAATACACATAAGGAATATGCATGTCCCAGTCATCATCCATTTTAATAGGGTTTTCCAGGAAATAAACCATCAGTTTTGGGGTACCTCCATTTATGGAAACCACCAAATATGTACAACAGTAGCTCCCAAGCATCTTAACCACCGGATAATCCGCAGGATGACCAACTCACCACGACGTAAAAAACAATTCGGGCTTTGGTGACCCACTACTGATTCACAACATTTGGATAAGGTCAAAACTGCGTTTGTTTGGGGAATGAAAAACGAATGATTTGGGCATATTACATTTTGAAGTAACCATTATCCATTTCATTTTGAAGTAACTGCAGTTCTTAAATGGGTACTGTCAAGTGAAATGAATTTAACTGCGGTTTCAACCTCATTCCTGTTTCTCTTCCAGTGATTTGGGCACCCATCCTTGGATGCGGCAGAATGATGCATAGAAACTTTCGGGTGACCAGAACTCAAAAAACGGTTTTATAATCCCTCTGGCACTCGTATGATGTTGATACGGTGGATGGAAGAAATCCTGCACCACCTTGGATGGTTGAAACCCTATAAATAATGGGATAAACCATCTACAGTATCAACTGGTGCAGGATTTCTTCCATCCACAGTATGGAGACACTAAGAGCTTCACTAACAAACCACGCCAATGCTAGCTGGCAAAAGCCCCGTTCGCTGACGCCGAACCCTTGCCCTTTTTGGCCATTTAAAATGTAAAACCTGGCAAGCGTGCAGAAACTGTAAATGGGTTGCCTGTGAGGTTGCTGCATCAGCCACATGATGATAGAAATTTGAAACCTAGATGTTGGAATGAAATTACTTCCCTGTTTTCGATATCTTTCAAAGCAAATGCAGCCTTGGAGCAACACTTGGTCTGCAAGCTGCGGCTTGCAGTATGGAAGACCCCTTTCAATAATCCTGAGAGCCACCAGGCTATGAAGGTACACCAAAGATACACCCCAGACTCTCTGTACAAACGGAACTGCCTTGTGCAGCCCCAGCAGCTCAGAAAACATCGAAGACCCCAAGGAAGGCAGTGATTGCTTCTGATGCTCAGGGTTCAACAGCCCCCACGACCAAAGCAACGGGCGCGAACAGGCATGCGATTTTGGTCGATCTCATAGGGCACGAGAAGTGTAAAGAGGAAGTCCCCCTTGCGGCTCTCCTCATGAAGGTGTCCAATGTCCCAAACTACTGAGCAACAAAGATGAGTTGTTTGGGCATGCTGAAGAACTACAAGTTTTAACCAAATGATGTTTGTTGGTCAAAAAAAACAAAAAATATTTTAACAAATATCGTTCAACAACCGTTCCATTTAAAAGTTTGCTCTCGAAGGATGTGTTTGTTTTCTTCAGAATATGCTGTTTGTGTTGTTATTGTTGTTCTTGTCGCTGTTGTTATTGATGAATATGGTTTTGTGTTTGTGTAGCCGTGGTAGCAGTAGCAATAGCTGTAGCCGTAGCAGTAGCGGTAGTAGCGGTGGTGGTGTTGGTGGTAGTTGTAGTAGTTGTTGTTGCTGTTGTAAAATTTAAACAATAAACACAACAAAAAATAATAACACTAATAATAATAATAGCAATTATAAAACATATAGTAGTGCTCGCAGCAGTGGTTGTTGATGATGTGTTTGCAGAATCTGTTTGATCTCTCATAGTTGGATGCAATGATATATAAGCTTTAAACAAAACAGTATACTAATTTTCGCTTGTAGCATGCAGGATGCACATGTATGCATTATGCATCTAACGTGTAAATATATATATATGTATATTTAAATGTATGTGGATCGAGATGGCTGGAAAATTGTTTCATGGACAAAGAAATTGACTCAATAAGCCCAAGTAGTCTGTCAATGTGCTAAATTTGATTGTGCTCTCTTACCTACATAAGCCCATATTTTGATTTTCCGAACCCCTTTACTGCCATGCATTTGAGTTTTCTATACAGTTTGTATGCCGTTGCTGACTAAATTTGCCATAAAAAGTCTGCCGTGCATATTAAACAAATTCGACCATTTGTCCCATGTTCACTTGCCCGATTACCAAGGTTTTTTTGTTGGCTGATGCTTACAACAAACATGTTGACTAAAGAATCCTTGCGTGTTTACGTTTCACATCATCGCTAGCTTGTCCATTCACCAGACTTTACCTCTATGTTTGGTTGTCAGCCTCCAGCGCTTACTGGGCAAATCACCATTTCTGTTGGTGAAGATCACGCATTTTGAAATGATTCAACAGAAGTCATACCCAAGCAGCATGAAGCAGCCATTAACCCTGTATATACGAGGATGGTCATGGAAATGGTGATCAATTGGGGTATGACCCATTTTGTCCTGGTTGTAAAGGCTTAACATTGAGCATTTACACCAATCTGGGGTTGGTTCAAGAATGGCGACGTCGAATCTTAGCATTCAAACATCGCCATGTTCTCTTCAGAAAAGTTAAGAGGAATAACCCGCCCCAATTTGAGAAACACCCACATTTGGTAATACAAGCTAGAAAAAACTGATTATGTTTGGTGAGATTAATATCGTGTGCATGGATATCATCTTGCATGAAGGAACTTCAAGAATCGTTCATAACATGTTCTTCTTCAATCCTAGCTCACCCGTTTTGATTATACTAGTAGTGGTTTAAAAAAAAAATCTATGGCCATTTCAGGAACCTAAATTGGAGGTACCTACCATATATAAGGCCTATGTAAGGGCTATGAATATACCCCCAAAATATGGCCTTATATGGTACAGTACCTCCATTTTAGGATCCTGGAATTCCCATTGAAAAAATATCGGGATTTTCTTAGGTACAAACATTTCAGGGGCCCATCCCCGTACTAGCAGCGCGATGGATAAAAACCACGTCCAGGTACGGGTCGTTTCTCGGCCGGCGGACACGAAAAGGTGAGTGTCTCAAGCAGACCCTCCTGAAGATCCAAGGAAACTCGGCTGAAAACGTGCAGAAAATCTGAGTGTTTGGAGGATGGATCACCCAGTGAATGGTGTGTATATATAAATATATATTACATATTGAGTTATATATATATTGATATATATATATATATATGTTGAATGAAATATATGTATATACATTGAAATATATGTATCATATATGTCATATGTATATATATATGGAATTATGTAAATGTTGAATTATTTATATACATATATATATATATATATGTATATATGTTGAATTATATATTATATATATCATATATATATAGATATATTGAATTATATATATATACAACATATAAAATAAATAACCAAGGAATCGAGGACTGACCAGGTCGTGATCTCAGTGATCCAAGTGGAAACCTTTTTGCAGTCGCTCAGGAAATTTTGGATGTACCTAAGGGGAATCATAAGTAATGTCCTGGTTGGTGGTTGGCCTACCTCTCTGAAAAATATGAAAGTCAATGGGAAGGATTATCCCATTTATTATGGAAAAATGTTTGAAACCGCCAACCAGATAAGTAATGTCGAGTTAGAATTATAAACCTACTTGGGATTAATCAACCTAACTTGACATTAATCACTTCTATTCTGACTTGTGGGAAATTATTCAAAGCAACCCGGGGATGTACTTGGACATATATTCAACTGTCGGCAGATTGTGGAAATACATGAACATACACACATATGTTGTCCATGTTCAACCAACGCTCGATGGTCATGCCTAGCATATTCTGCACAGAAGCGATCCTGGGAGATCAGCAATGTTTTGGATCCAGCGTGCGTTAAGACATGATGACAAGGCCATCAATCTTCTGGATAAACTAGAATAATTATCAATAATTCACCAACCTGAAAAAATGCCGTTTGGGGATATGCCCCGGACCCCTGCTAACCAGAATACTTGCCGTGCCAAGATTGGAACTAAGATGTTTGCACGTGCTTCGAAGAACACCCCGAAACTTGCCATGAGGACTAGACGAGGACCGAAAAACCAAAAAGGACTAAGGGGTGACACCGTATTACAAGTCGGGTTCCAAGTCGGGTTCCAAGCGCATAATTAACTCTGGCTGGTGGTTGACCTACCCCTCTGACAAATATGAAAGTCAGTTGGGATTATTATTCCCAATATATGGAGTAATAAAACATGTTCCAAACCACCAACCAGAACTGCTCAAACGTTTACAAAATGAATTGCTGAGCTGTACTTCAACCCTAGGCCACAAGGAAACAAACTGTTTATGCGAAACCAGTATCAGTGGGTAGCGACTGCCAACATGCTCTGACTCCAGCAGCGTGTAACTGTAGAGATAAGTCAACGTTTTGTAAAAGATAGTTTAAGCTATCAAAACCATGGTGGACTGGGACTGGTCCAGTCATTCTAGGTGATCACTGATCACTGTCTAATTTCTGAACATTCAACTTTAATATTGATACCAACCTTGAAAAACAAATGCGTGAAGTTCCCGTGACTGAGCACACAAGAGTACCCATTCAGCTGGTCCTGAGTAGCTTGTGGTATGACCTCCTGTAAGCGCTCCTCATCTACCACACCACCTCCACGGTTGTATGTCATCTGGATCTCATTGTCATAGAATTTGAATTCCCAGAAGGATTCGCCAAAATCTCCCGTGATGAAATTGTTCTGCTCAGACGTTGCCTCATAATTTGCTTTGTGGTAGGACTGCTGAAAGCCGCTGAACTTTACACGACCTGTGCGACCATCCTCGTTTTTGTTTATTTCATTCATGATATCCATACTGTAGAGCGGCTTGAAATGTCGTTCGCGCAGCAAAACATCATTCCCATCAACCGAGAGCCTCACACAATAGTTGATGTCAGGATGCCTGTTGACCACACACAAAAAATACTCCGTTCCTGGAGGCATCTGAATAGGATTCATCCTTGGATTTGGTGGTTCCCAAGAACCAAGACATCTTCCTAGTTAATGAATTAGGCGCTTTTGGTTCGCAAATGCTCCATGGTGCTGGAATATTTACCAACATGTACCCTAAAAATCACCCAAATGTAGGTAAATATACCATACATGGAGCATATGGGGTTTGAGATTTAACTCACAAACCGAAACCTGAAATAAACCCTTGGCGGAAAAAGTTTTTGCAACACTGATCATGGGGTGACTGACCAGGTTGCCCATCAAAAAAAAATATTCAACGCAAATCCGTGCATCTCAACATCTTCTCCCATCATCCCAATGAAGTTGTCCAAAGGAACTTCTCCATAAGGCCGGTTTTCATGTTGACGCCCAGTCAGCCAAACTTGAAGGGTCCTTGGTCAAATCGCCGGATTTCACTGCGATCATTTCATAGTGTGAAGTGACGCGAGATTATGGGATAATATGGGATATTGTATACCCTCTGGTAAACAAACATAGCTGTTGAAAATGGCCATTAATAGTTGATTTACGTATTAAAAAATGGTGATTTTCCATAGTTATGTTAGTTTACCAGAGGGTATATTTGTTGTATCGGAGAAAATTGCGCAGTTCTGGGGGGCGACATCACTTATGACACCAGGGCACGTCACTTGCGACACCGAACAGAATCACTTGCACACACAATTGCACTGCGCACTGACGATTGGGTTGGGGTGGGGTGGGGTGATGTTCATATTCACTTGCATATCTTGCTTTACAATATATATATATATATATTATATATACATAGATACATACATACATATGCAAGGCAAGGTATCAGATCTGGAGCAAGTGCAAAAGACTACTCCAGCAAAGCCAAACCCTGCTAGTGCATGACTGCAGAACATATCTCAAATATCGCAGATATACAGCGTAACATCTCGCGCATGCTCTTCTTACAGAGAAGTGACGTCGCGATGAGGTCGTTAGAATTCATCCAAATACATATGCCCCTAAATACAGAAGCCCTAATCTCACGACCATGTCAGATATGTAATAATGGCAATAACATCCCCAATATTGTATCCCATTGTCAGTTTATGAGAAAAAAGTCACTGGTCTCTGACTCATTTTCATTCATTTTCCCCAGGACAAGGACGCCATATCTGCGGGCCCAGCCACAATCCCTCAAGGTGGAATGGAATGTCCACCATGGCTGAAAACACGTTGCGGACGCCGTTCCACGGTGCTTGAGATAGTATGATAGCCGTGGCGATCAGAGTTTTCAGTGGGGGTGTTTGCCGTGAAAGATGTTGTTGTACAAGATATGTAAACGGATGATGACGGCAATGATGTCCAATATATATATATATGTGTATATATATATATATTCCTATATAATTGATTGTGTGTAGTATGTAGATGTTGATATTGATATTGATATTGATGATGATGATGATGACGATGATGATGATGATGATCATGATGATCATGATGATCTTGATGATCATAATGATCATGATGATCTTGATGATCATAATGATCATAATGATCATAATGATCATAATGATCATAGTGATCATAGTGATCATATATAGTGATCATAGTGATCATAGTGATCACAGTGATCATGATATTGATGATATCTCCCGATTACATCCGATTACTAAGCCATCAAATGCCATGGATCACTCCTCTGCTGAAGTCCCCAACCAGGGCAGGCTGCTTTTTTCATTCGGCTTGGTCTACAAAGTGAAGCCCCCAAGATAGGTAAGATATGGTAAGATGGTGTTAATCATTGGGCTCACGATTGGGCTTATGGTACGAGTAGATATCTCTTTTTTATCCCATCCCGCCCCCTAATAATAAACATGCCCGAAATGGTCCCGATCTGGAAATTACTGAACCATGGTTTCAAAAGGGGCGAAAGAAAAGGGGGAAGGGATTACTTCATGGGGGTTAGAATATCCAACAAACACAACTGGGGGGAATTACACCGTTGTTGATAGCCCGTGGCGGAAACACCTTCAGCTTTCGCATTGCCTGGTGTGGTCACACCGCAATGTCCGATTGCGGAAGTTCGATGTAGTTTGACCTCAAGTAGACTCATTAGCGTAGGATCATATGAAGAAAAAGGGGGGAACCAGAATTTATAGGATGGTAACTGAATGGACACAGATTCAGATGGACAGAAAATCACCAACAATTCTGGGTAAATTACAATATTTCACTAAACTGAATAGTGCGGCCATTTGGGGATGATTTCCCTGAAATAAACCATGATTCCAGGGTTCGGGAGAACAGTGAGATCGTGATGAAATTTATCCAGACAATTGTAATCTACAATCGGCAATTGGTCTCTGTGCCACCCCAGTCGAAATATGCCCACCTTTGGGAGTATCCAAAGTAGGACATTGTACGAGTAAAAAACCGCCAGCAGAACGGGATGCAAACTGCAGTGTATATTCCACTGGCAACCAGCAAACACCATCAGTTCAAGAGATACCTCTTCTCTAGACGCTCTTGAAAAGGATCAAAAGCTACTTCTGCCACTTTCAGGTTTCTCTCCGAAGGTATTTCATGAATAAAGACATATAAAAGTCAAGAACGCGATGACCTGGTCTCTTTCGAAGTTGTTTGGTATTGCTCATGACCCACACGGCCAATTCTGCATTTGCTACTACACGATATTCATCGAAATTCGCGGGTCATGAAGAACACATTTATCCAGTGACTTTCTCCTAAAGAACATCTTTGAAACTGGATAGATGTCTTCGACATTGACGGAATTTGGCACATCTCGGTCTTGGCATTTAACTTATTACTCTGGAATCCGGAAGGCTAATATATGATAATCTATGATTAATATATGTGTTGTTCTAGCAAATCCCAAAGCATGTTTTTGGTGTCGACGCTGTTAAGGGGCCGTGTGCTGTCCTCATTTTTTTTGGTTTCTGCGTGCTTCTGGTCATTGTCTTTGTTACCCGGTTTGGGTGGGTGGGTGGGGGGGGATGGGGGGGATGTTAACGTTCATTGCGACTGCTAGGTTCTCTTGCACTTCCACACATACGTCATGCTACGCTACTGCTCGGTTCTCTTGTACTTCCACACATACGTCATGCTATGCTACTGCTCGGTTCTCTTGTACTTCCACACATACGTCATGCTACGCTACTGCTAGGTTCTCTTGCACTTCCAAACATACGTCATGCTACGCTACTGCTTGGTTCTCTTGCACTTCCACACATACGTCATGCTACGCTACTGCTAGGTTCTCTTGCACTTCCAAACATACGTCATGCTACGCTACTGCTTGGTTCTCTTGCACTTCCACACATACGTCATGCTACGCTACTGCTAGGTTCTCTTGCACTTCCAAACATACGTCATGCTACGCTACTGCTTGGTTCTCTTGCACTTCCACACATACGTCATGCTACGCTACTGCTAGGTTCTCTTGTACTTCCACACATACGTCATGCTACGCTACTGCTCGGTTCTCTTGCACTTCCACACATACGTCATGCTACGCTACTGCTCGGTTCTCTTGTGCTTCCACACATACGTCATGCTACGCTACTGCTCGGTTCTCTTGCACTTCCACACATACGTCATGCTACGCTACTGCTAGGTCTGCTAGGTTCTCTTGCACTTCCACACATACGTCATGCTACGCTACTGCTAGGTTCTCTTGCACTTCCACACATACGTCATGCTACGCTACTGCCAGGTTCTCTTGCACTTCCACACATACGTCATGCTACGCTACTGCTAGGTTCTCTTGCACTTCCACACATACGTCGAGCTGTGAACTATCGAGCTGTGCCTGTGAATGCCTTAAAAAATTCATGTCAAGCAAAGTTTCGAAAACCAGGGTTGTCATAAAAAAAATGTTGCTTTTTGATGTAAAACGCTCAAAAATGAGTATTTTCGGTGAACACTACGTAGTTTTAAGCTCATTGAAAACACATTGATCTGATGCAAATGTTGAAAAACCCTCAGGAAATTGAGATTGGACACTGATGCTATGAATGTGGATCTTGCACCACTGCACGGCCTCTTATCAGCGCCGTTACCATGTTTTTGGACCGTGAATTTGGGATGATTCCGCTAGCATTTGCAGGGGTTGATGTGCCAGGGTCGCTACATATTATTCAGATCTCTCAGATCATCTCTGAAATGTGCAAAAATCAACCGGAGTTAAACTATAGTAACTACAGTAGAGTTAAACTGTAGTTATAAAATCTTAGACATATTTATAACTTCAAATATGTCTCAAAGCCAATTTAATGGCTAATTTAACTTTATAAAGCCATCTTTGGCAAAAGTTATACCATGTTATACCTTGTTTCACCAACTTCATTCGGGCAAACGTGTTCTTCCTTTCGGGCAAAACATGTTGAAGCCAAGGAGCAGCCCCCCTTCCGTCGTTAGCGAAAGGGCCTGACACAGATGATCTGAGTCAGACTGAGTCGATTCTAAGTCAAAGGAGACCGCGTGCTAAGTGGATTTTGGCTGATTCACAATGGTTTTCTCTATGACAAACGCAATCAGGAAAAACATGTTTGTCGCATCCCGGATGAATCACCATGTTTTGGATGTTTTTTTTAACAATCCACTTAAATGTTTTGTTTGTCATTGGGTTCCCCCATTAATGATATAAAGATATAAATAGTCTAGCTGGTTGGTGGTTTCAACCCCTCTGAAAAATATGAAAGTCAGTTGGGATGATTATTCCCAATATATGGAAAAATAATAAATGTTCCAAACCACCAACCAGATGATGGTTGGTTCCTGAAGGACTCACGTGCAGATCCCAAGTGAGTCACGGTTGGTCAAACTGCACGTGATACGGCACGGATCTTCCCAGGGCTCCTGTTCTGCGATGTACTGACAAGGCCCTTGTGGAGAGCAGTCTGCTCGTGCAGTTTTGAAGGTTGTTGCGCAGCCGGTGAGCGTCTTCCTGAAGCACAATGGTGCTCAAGAAAAACACTCCTCGGCTGCGCAACAACATACAATCAAATGCTAAAACCGCATCTGCATTGACGGCACATTGATGTGTTGAGGCTTCAGTCTTCACTGATGGTTTGATAGGACACGGAGTGTATCGCCCTTCATCATCCTTCACAATCGAAGTTCCTGACTCCTCGTCTCCTCTGATCAGTTTGTCCTGCCAATATTCAAGCAAGGTGATGTCCCATAGCTGGCTAAGTTGGTTTACAACAAGGCTATTGATCTTGATGGTGGATATATCTATAGGCGGTTGGGGTTCTGGACCAACTCAGAAATGGGGGGGCACCACCTTGTGTTGATGTGAGGATTTTCCATTGTCTTCACATCAGCTCCCGGAAAAAAAACTGATCGTTTCTAGTACAAAGAAACCATCACTGATTTTGACATTGACGGCTTTTGGATATGCACTTATTGCGATTCACTTCAATAGTTACTTGTTTCCAACACATCCCAAAGCCGATTTGTTGGACCATGAGTTGGGATGATTATGGATGATTCCACCAACACACATCAGCATCATTTATGGACCCAGATATATTCAGATCACCTCTGAGATGTGCTTCATCACCCTTGGCAGCTAGCTGCAGTTACACCTTGTTGGACAAACTTCTATGAAGCAAACGTATTGCCGTGTTGTTGTATTCCAGCTTTCAGTTGGCAAAACTTTTGGAGACTAGTTGGACTTGCACAAAGAACTTCAACTGCTTGAAACAAAAACCAATAAAACCAAACAAACCAACAACTTTTGACTCCTCTGCTTGAGCTCCAGGGGCAGCCCTTTGGTAATCTCTATACCCCATCCATTTGTCTCAGCCTGCGAAGCAAACACGGGCAAACAGCCCTCCACAAGGCCCTTGTGGAGAGCAGTCTGCTCGTGCAGTTTTGAAGGTTGTTGCGCAGCCGGTGAGCGTCTTCCTGAAGCACAATGGTGCTCAAGAAAAACACTCCTCGGCTGCGCAACAACATACAATCAAATGCTAAAACCGCATCTGCATTGACGGCACATTGATGTGTTGAGGCTTCAGTCTTCACTGATGGTTTGATGGGACACGGAGTGTATCGCCCTTCATCATCCTTCACAATCCAAGTTCCTGACTCCTCGTCTCCTCTGATCAGTTTGTCCTGCCAATATTCAAGCAAGGTGATGTCCCATAGCTGGCTAAGTTGGTTTACAACAAGGCTATTGATCTTGATGGTGGATATATCTA